ATGCTTTAAAGCCGAAGGTGGAGGAGGAACTGCGGAGACTCCAGAATGAAGGTATTCTCACTAAAGTGGAGTGGAGTGAATGGGCCACACCGATTGTGCCTGTCCCCAAGAAAGATGGTTTTTGTGGTGATTACAAGATCACAGTGAATCCAGAACTACAAGCAGAGCAGTACCCTCTTCCTCGCATTGAAGACATCTTTGCAAACCTTGCTGGTGGGCAGAAATTCTCAAAGATTGACCTCCGCCAAGCATATCACCAAATAGACATGGAAGACGATTCAAAGAAATACCTCACAATCAACACCCATATGGGACTGTTCCAGTACAACCGACTAGTGTTTGGTATCACCTCTGCACCTGCTATCTGGCAGCGCACCATTGATCAAGTGTTAGAAGGGACGTCTGGAACAAGCTGTATCCTTGATGATATGATCATCACTGGAAAGAATGATGATGAGCATCTTGCCAACCTGGAAGAGGTTTTACGTCGCTTACAGGCTCATGGGTTAAGAGCAAACAAGACAAAGTGCGAGTTTTTCAAAGAGAAGATAACCGTCTGTGGACATGATATTGACAGTCATGGTCTCCACAAGTCACCAGAGAAAGTGGAAGCAGTTTTGAAAGCGCCTCGCCCAAGCAATGTAGCTGAACTGAGGTCGTTCCTGGGGTTAGTTAATTACTACAACAGATTCTTACCCAATCTGTCCACCGTGGTACACCCTTTGAACCAGTTGTTAGAGAACAACCATCAATGGAAATGGACGCAACAATGCGAAACCGCATTCTACAACGTGAAAGAAATGATCACCTCAGAGCAAGTATTAACACACTATGATCCCAGTCTGCCACTGAGGCTTGCTTGTGATGCATCCCCTGTGGGAATTGGTGCCGTGCTATCCCACGTGATGAATGATAGGACTGAGCGACCCATTGCTTTTGCTTCCAGGACACTAACAAAAACTGAGCAAGGGTACGCTCAAATTGACAAAGAAGCTTTGGCAATAATCTGGGGAGTCAAGAAGTTCCATGTGTATTTGTTTGGCCGATCTTTCACCCTGTACACTGATCATCAGCCGTTAACATCCATCTTCCACCCACACAAGAGCATTCCAGTGGTTACGGCAGCCCGGCTTCAGCGCTATGCATTATTCTTGGCTGGATATGACTACCAGATCGAGTACAAGAACACTAAAGTGCATAGCAATGCAGATGGCCTCTCCCGGCTGCCACTTAAAACCGAAGAGAGAGCAGAAGAAGTTGTGGATCCAGTTAATGTTTTCAATATGATGCAGTTTGAGCCGTTACCCATCACAGTTGACAATGTCCGAAGAGAAACCCAAAGGGACCCTGTCTTGAGTCAAGTCCATGAGATGGTGACTAAAGGATGGCTAAGCAGCCATGTTTCTGTACTGGACCCCTTCTACGCTCGCAGGGATGAGATAACAGTACACTCAGGCTGTTTGATGTGGGGAATCAGAGTCATAGTACCTCCAAAACTTCGTCCACAAGTGCTTGAAGAACTCCATCAAGGACATCTTGGTGTGGTGAAGATGAAGGCCCTAGCGCGAAGCTACATCTGGTGGCCAGGGATCGACAAGGAAATTGAGGAAACCGCGAAGACCTGCTCGGGTTGCCAGCGAATGCAGGCTGAACCTAGTACCGCACCTGTACATCCTTGGGAATGGCCATCGTCACCCTGGCAGCGAATCCATATTGATTTTGCCAGACCTTTCCTCGGCTGCATGTTTTTAATTGTCGTGGATGCCCATTCTAGATGGTTGGAAATAGAGAAAATGGACACCACGACCTCAACCAAAACCATCGAGAAACTGCAAAGCTTATTTGCTAGATATGGTGTGCCATCCCAGTTAGTGAGTGACAATGGGCCACAGTTCAAATCTGAAGAGTTTCAGATGTTCCTCAAGAGAAATGGAGTCAAACATCTGACATCTGCTCCATACCACCCTGCCACCAATGGTCTAGCCGAACGCTGTGTGCAGAGTTTCAAATCAGCCATGAAAAGTGAAACGGAAGTAAAACCCCTGAGCATTAAGCTGGCAACGTTCTTGCTAGCTTACAGAAATACCCCCATTCAACCACTGGAGAAGCACCATCTCAGCTATTTTTGGGAAGACGATTACGCACTCGACTGGACTTGTTGAAACCAGACCTCCGCTTGAAGATAAGCAACCGTCAGATAGACCAAACCGTCACGAAGGGTGGTGCTGTAACCAGAGAATTCTCCATCGGTCAGACAGTGATAGCACGAAATTACACTGGTAGTACAAAGTGGGTACCTGGCATCATCCGCACACAACTTGGGCCCCTTTCTTACGAAGTAGAAGTCAAACCTGGCTTAGTGTGGCGTCGACACACAGACCAACTGAGGGATACCAGCATTCCAGTAACACCAAGCAGCAACCCTGTTACCCAGACCTCAGAACTTCCAATCCAGGTTGAGAGTCGTGAGGACCCAGTGTCTGTAGCCAGTGAGCAGCCAGCAGCCAGCGACTTGGAGACTGATGTTCTGCCACCAAGTCCAGTGGCTGACCCTGCAGCCAGCAGTCCACCAAATTTGAGTGAACCTGTTCCTGTTAGACGATATCCGGTCCGAGTGCGGAAGCCCCCAGCTAGGCTGGATTTATGAACTTTGAAGTGACATTAAGACTGTGCTTATTTCAATAGGCGTGTTGTGTTTGACTTAACGTTTCAGATCCTTATTAGTTACCATATTGCATGCACTAGCTAGTGGGGAGGAGTTGTGGTGTTTTTGGCCAGCGGCCAATACACTTTGAGCATGCGCACTTATGCGCCATTCCGGAACGTAGTCCGTTCGAATCAAAGACATGACAGCTGTGGAGGGAAAAACACAGAAAGACCTCAGGGGAAGATTGGCATCAACCCCCTCCCCCCTTTGTACGTCCGAGGGTTAAAAACTTGACTATTTGTAATGCATTACCACTGCTACTTATCATTAACCAGCATCACTTCCTAATGGTTTCTTATCATTTAAAATGATTTAATGAACGCCGCTAGCTGATGGATTTTCTAAGTTGTGTTGCTTAACGTTTGAAACCTCCACACCGCTTTTTTAATAGATTTCTTTTAAAGCCTCTCATGGTCTCTCGAAAAACAGCTGCAATAAACGTAAACAACGCAGAAACAATAATTTACAACGGCTTATACTCCGACTATGAAAACAGTAAATGGATACAAATAAGCCGACATGTCACAGTAAGTTTCATGTTATGAAGAAGATCAAAGTCATAAAAGCGAATCTCATAAATAAATAAAGTTTATTACAAAGTGCGATGGAATTATTACAAATTGCGACAGCTAAGTTTATAATAAAGTGCGATGGAAGCTTTTTTGTTACAAAGTGCGACAAAGAGAGGTCGTGACACGCATATTGATTTTTTCTGGTCCGCATGATTTGCCCACTGATGCAAGAGCATTTTCTTTTTTGGCCTCTTTAGAAATGTAAAGTTCTTCACTGTGGCTGATTAAGGGTTTTAGGTTGTTTAATTTCTCCAAAGTGCCTCCTGGATTTGAATGATTCTAAGCCATTTTCTTTGTGTCCACGAATGTGACTTTTTCCTGCAAGGTCTTGTCACCCTGGGCCCAGCTCGTTAGCGTTTTTAGCAGGATGTTTACTGAATTCTCATGGATAGTGATTTACAGAGCCAAATCAGGGGCGGATCCAGGATTTTTCTTAGGAGGGGGTACACCACTAACTGACCGATGACGTAAAAAATTTTAAAAGCGAATACGAAGAAGAGGGCTTTTGACTAGGAAATAACATAATGTGAACTGCTGAGAATACATATCAAACGATAGAGCAGATTTTGTATGTCTGTCAAGCGACTGCACAGTGTTAATTACAAAGCGGCCTCAGGTCATCCCAGGGGGGGCTGCGCACCCCCTGCACCCTCCCCCTGGATCCACCCCTGCAAATCACGAAGAAGTGGATTGGAATGAGGGGATTTACCCATTCTTTTCAGTCGAAATAATTGTTCATTGTCAGTTGGCGTGTTCAGTTTTTCTCTAATTTGGGAAAGCATCGCAGCCCAGTTTCTCACCTTTGTTTCGCACGGAGAGCAAACTCTCGTGGAGAAAGATCCTCCTTCCTCGAGGACAACGAAAAGTTCGTTTTTCAGTAGGTCGGCCCACTTTGGTAACGTTTCTCCTTTTCTGGTAGGCGCAACAAACACATTTTCCGAGCTTATCCATCCACTCAAAAAATTGCCAAACTGTGTTTTGAAATTATACAATTTATCCGAAGCACTCGTCTCTTTCGGCTTACTCCCCCTTCGAGGAGCAGGCACAGGCTTTGTTGGCGTACTGCCACTTCCACTCATTTTTGATCCTCCACTTTATATATTACATTTCCCAGAGAAGGAATACTAATGCTAGGTTTTTTCTCGGGCCTCACACGCCTTACGGGAGTGTGAGGCTCGCGCTTCCCGCTTAAGACTCTTACGTCACGCTTTACCGATTTCTTTACTGATTTTGAGAAAAAAACCGACTGTTTTGCAGTCTACTGGAAAGAACATTTTTCGCACTTTCTCTCGGAGAAAGACGTATGATACGGTCAAACGAACGTGTCTTAAACATCAGTACTATGCAGTAAAATCTCAGTACCATCTTGTTCAATCCCCGATATCAGGATCTTAATCTTGAGAACACAGTTTAAAAAAAAAAAAATTGCGAGATCGTTAAGAAATCCTGCACTACAGCATAACCCCGAATGAAAGATTGTATAGTGTTCCTAGTCAGACTTAGAGTTTGCTTAACACCAAAAAAAGGCTGAAATTACCTCTAATTTTGCCTATTTTATCAATATTAGTTGTATTGTTTGTTTATCAGTTTTCTTAAAAATGCCGCGCACGTCACCTTGACCTCTAAACATCAACTTTGACATCTCACCTGAATGGCAACTTACTTACATCCTTTATTTTATTTTATTTTATTTTATTTACTTTTTATGAAAGAATCCCTTCTTATTTGAACATACCATTTTGATTTTCAGTAAATAACATCGTGAGCTGGAATCCCAGGTATTGATTAGAATAATCAGAGTGGAATGTTATTAATGCGTAGTTTCCAGTTACCAAAACTATTTTTCCACTAAGTTCCCGCCCACAATATGTACCACGTGTTCTGTTGTCATCATCTACAATCCTCAAATAATCAAACCTAGAAGGGAAAGAATATGCTTTTTACTTTTCAAGGACAGTTAAATTCTTAGAAATAACCCTAACCGCCAAGAGAACATGAAAGCCTTTTATGTTCTCCTGCCTCAACTAATTGCGAGTTGTGCTTTATGGTGGAGTTCAGGACTCTCCAAACGTTTCTGTGGAATATCAAGCCGCCGATCAAATTCTTTTATTTTATGTTGCACTTGAGTCACTCCCGAGCAGTTGAATTGCCGCCGTCTACAAATGCCAATTAACGTTCAACAAGTGGCTTGTATGTTCTCTTGCTTATCGACCTACTTACAGATGACAAAGGCCTGTAAAAGGGATTTCACTCATCTCAACTCACGTAAAAGCCTTGAGGCGTGAAATCTTAATTTGATTTTAAAAAAGCTATGGCATTTTCCAGATCGAAAACCATATCATTGGTCAGATCTCGGTTTAGCCAATGACAAGTCTCACCTTTTGACCCTATCTACCATATGAGTATAACACCACCAATGAACATTCGATCTTGTGAATAATAGTGTGAATTTTGTTCATTAGGCTGCGAAACAGCCGACTGCCATCGCTCTCTGCCGCTAGGAACATTTCGAGAGAGCTAGAGCCGTCTGCCCCGAAACAACAGAAATACCATACTGATAACCTAAGAGCTGTCACCTGGTCAATGACTAATGAATGCACTGTTTAGGCAGTATTTTAGGAAAATAAAGAATCGAAGAAATAGCAGAAATTATATTTTTTTCGGAAGAAATCTTTCACAAGATATCATGGTTTAATTTCTATATATGTTACTCAACTTCAATTTTTTATCCGAGAGCAAATGACACATTTGGGACCCCATTTGGGGGGTGGTTTGGCTCCACTTGATCTATCTGTGCGCGGGAAGGGGATCGTTAAAATCTTGCTATGAGGTTGAATTGTGCGTAATATTGGCAGAAAACGCCGTGTAATGTTAAAGAAATTATGACGGCTTTTCGTGTTATTTCTTTTATCTAATAATTACTATTTCTTTCGTTGGATGGGGTGAACCAAAATTCTCTCAAAAACTCGAGAGTTTTAAAAATACAGTCTAGCGAATTGGGGCCGTTAAGTGCAGGTACATGAAAGTCTTTCAACGCACAAGAAATGAGCGAAATCTATTTTTCACGCCATGTCGACCAGACCGCTAATTTACTGTCAGATACTCTTTATTTCTTATTAAAACAATCTTTATTTTAAAATTAGAGGGCTATTCTCATTGGCCGGTGTTTTTGCCAGCCTGGGTTTTTAGAAGCCTGATTTTGCCTTATTTCTAGGCCTAAAATCACAGATCCGCAAACTTGCAGCGTACAAGCCAAACGTCGGAATTCGTGAGTAAGTTTTGACCAGCAAAAATGTTACGTTTTAGAGTAATAAGTATCACTTTAAGTTAAGTTCCTAGTCTACTCTTACCAAAGCTGAGTCAGTTGAGTGGTTTCAAATGTTTGTCCTCAGTCACGTTAACTTTATTGTAAACGGCAAAAGTGAATCTGTACCACGTGACCAAGTTTTCTCTTTTCTTGATGTTTATTGTTCATTGCTTCTACAAAAAAGTGAATTGTATAACGCCAGTTTTGTCCATAAGAATTGCTTTGAGCTGTTTTTACATGCTATTTTTTTTTTAATTTTGAGATATTCTAAACTTGAATCTGACGTTTGCCGTTTGCCGTAAACGTGACTCTAAACCTCTCTATTGTTAAATTTCTTACCCGCATCGAGTATGTGTTTCCAGGGAAAAAGTTGAAAAACTGATCTTCAGCGCCTTTCCGGATGGAATGGAAACGTTGTACACACAGTGCCTGTTATTGGGGTATGGTGTTGGAAATCCAGGACTTGTCAAGGCGTTGTTTACCACAGAACCACATCCTATAAAATCAGATTGTAATTTTACACGTAGACTTGTGTTCTCTTAATCAATAGAGAACTTAAGGGTCTCGCCCTTAATGTTCTTTTTTCCACGTTCTTTACTTTTCGAAAGTATTAGATGAAATAACAAACTAATTAATACGAATTTCCTAAATTCCACTATTTTCCCACTGGTTTAAAAATGCAATGTGGCAAACTTACAGGATATCACCTGAAATCAAATCTGACCAAGGGTAGTTGAGTTTTTGAACACGATAGGTGGATCACGAAAATTGCCAAAAAAAATCTTAAAGAAGAAAAGTTGCCAGATGCTCGGTAGTTAAACACTAGTTTCTGTTTTCTCCATGTCAGCTGGTTGGGTGGACGGACAGGAGAAAAATAGGGGCGTATAGTATATTCTGCGCGATAAAAATACATGCGAACCCCCATAAGAGAGCACAAAAAATGCAGACTCAATGGCCGCTTAAGGAGATGTCCTAACACAACTTTTTTTTTCATGGAAGATAAGTTATTGCAAGTGTGTAGTTCCATGCTTTGCTAAAGTTCTACTTATATTCCTATTAGCATAGTTCGCACTGCCAAAATAGAGATCAGACAATGCTTGAAGGACCATGAAGTGGTCGCTTACAAGGTTAAAACCATTGGAAATCAGTAAACCGTCAGACCCAAATAGTGTGGTCGCAGTCTACAGGAGGTGGTCGTTTACTAGAGGTACCAAATGTACCAAATGTACAAATGGCTTTCACTGGGAAAGTTTTGGTGTTTTGGTTAGATGGTCGCTTACGAAAGGTAGTCACTCACATGGGTTGGACTGTACAATATACTCACTTGAATCAGCACTCTGAGCTGAACTGTAACACAGCATCAGCGATAGCACTAATACAAACTTCATCCTCCTGTTTAAGTAAAACGTGATGTTAAGGTGTTGTTCATAAGGCCGCGGGGGAGGAGGGTAAGCAGAATCAATGAGTTTCCCTGTTGCAATTGTTGAATAAAATAATTATTAACTCTTCTTTCCCTTTTTTAATAACTTCGAGGAAAACAATCAGGAGCACCCAACGACGGTTTCCTTCAAAATACGTTGAAAACGCTTTTTAGGCTATCCAGAGTACTTTTAGATCTCTAGAAATGCATTCTAAGCGGCGCTACAAAATTTTTATCCTTTCGGTCATCCTAGGTGAACTTAAGTCTTTTCGAAATTACAAGGGCTTCAGTATTTTTTTTCTGAAAATTTTAGGTGTAATTTAACGTTTTACGAAAATAAGAATTTTTCTGATATCCTTTCACCATCACATTTTAGAATCCGAAAATTTTAGGTTTCGTTTGTCTAAGAAAAATAGTGTAACCTGGGTACTAAAATATTAAAAATTAAACTTCTGAAAATCGTAGGGAATTTATTAGAAAAGCTTGGAAAGCTTCGGTCCATGATTATTGATTTTAAAGAAAACAAGAAAGGGGCGATGAATAAAATTACAACCTTTTTAATTTAGTAATGATATCCCAGCAACGTATTCTTAAAATGACATACAAAGAGTGGCAAAAAGACCAATTATGAAATAACGGTCAGTCCGCTAGAAATAAACATCAGCATCTGTTTCGGGTCACATGTATTGCCGCGTGTTCACTTCCCTTTTAATTGTGCTCGTTTTTGCTGCGTTTTCACCCGTTCTTTTCAAACATCTTCCGCCTTCAGCTTTTCCTTTTTGATAAAGCTTGATGTGGTGCAATTTTACCCCTGGTTTGATTTCGTTTTTTGTCCTTTTATTTGCAATTACATACATACATACACACACACATACATACATACATACATACACACATACATACTTTATTGTTACCTCCCCAAAGGGGCCTTTCAGGAACAATGATTATATTACAACATTTATAATAACTAATTACAACACTTAATCAAATACTAATTACAATGATAGCTAATTACTAATTACAATGTTTTAAACTTAACTAAGAAGTATTTACAAAATTATCTAAAAGCTGGCTCCTTAAGGAACGTTTAAAAACTTCAACAGCTAGATGGGCTTAACTTAAGAAAAGATTCCAAATCGTTCCAAAGTTTAACAGTCCTGTAATAAAAGGTTTTCTGTCCGGAGGCAGTTCTGAAAAGAGGGATGTTTAGCTTTTGGCTTCTCCGAGTTGTTCGTTCGCTAACTTGCTCACGGGTAATAAATTGGGATGTAAGATATTCAGGGGCTTGACCGGTCATGCATTTGAAGGCCTTAGTAGCTTGGCGATAGTACAGTTGGTCCTTAACAGGCAAACAAGACAGGCTTTTTAAAAGGGGTGTCACATGATCATATTTTTTCGCACCGCTGAAGATTCGGTAAGTAAATTTTTGAACGGCCTGCAATTTTATAACATTCTTATTTGTGGTATTTGCCCAAACATTCGAACAGTAGTACATTTTGCTGAAGACTAAGGCAATTCATTGTCTTATAATTCTAAGCAAGATTCTGAGAGCTGATTGGCTAACCGAAGTGTATTAATAGCGTGTAACGCACCATTTTCAGTTTTTTTCACGCATTGATGACATCTTTTCTCTTCAGCGATGTTCTATAAAGAATAGTCAGAGTTTTTTAACTTTGCATTAATTTACAGTGTGATTAAACTTTCATTTGAAATCTTAATATTCAGTTTTGCTTATGTTGCTATTTGAAAATAAAATATATTTCTAAACTTTTTGCAGCTGGGACGTTCTTGTTCAAACAGAAATCGTCGCTTTTGCAATAAAGAGCACTCAGCTTAGTTTGAATATTCAAAGGTTTAGAGAGTTCTTGTTCTATGCTCTCTTCTCGGGATGGAAAAAGACCAGACACGAGAGATCGGCGGAAATAAAGCCGAATGAATGAACCAACAAGATGAGTGAACAAAGACGGAAATTTTATGTTTTACTGCACCTAGTTCGGTATTTGAACTTCTCTCTTTCTTTACAGCCAGCCTGTCCGTGTTTTTGCCGGGAAGGCACTGACTCGGTTAAAGGCGGATTTCCACTGTCGCATAATTTTTACGTGCGTACGCACTTAAATTTTACGCGCGTAAATAAAATAGAGACAATGTATAAAAGGTCACGCGTAAACGTAAAAGTTGAACCTCGCTCAACTTTCACGTTTTACGCGTGGCCTTTCATACATTACCTCTATGTTATTTACGCGAGTAAATTTTTCGTGCGTTCGCAAGGAAAAGTTACTCGACAGTCTCAACCCTTAACTCAGTACAACATTCAAAAACAGAGAATAAATCAAATTGAAACCGAGGATATAGAATTGAACAACTACATGTGCATATTTCCTTTTTCCGGAGAAGTCCGCGAGCGAGACTCTTCTGTATATGTACTCGTGTAGGATATTTACCCGGGCTGGCGCGCAGTACTGAAGAACACGGCATTGACACTACAATCAGGTTGAGGTCTACTGTTTATAAGTAACATAACTCGATATAACTTACATTCCCCCCTTTTTTGTGTTTTCTTTTTATGTAAAGGCTACATGCCTATTGTACTTTGCTTTTAAAGTTTAGCATAAAGCATTGACCTTAAACTGTACTACAATCATAAGCTCTGATCAACTTTTCCCGGCAGCAACTCTTCCTTTCTTCTCAGTCTTCTAATTAATGTCAGACGGACATTCATGAAATAAAAAAAGGAAAAACAAAAAAAAAAACAAAGAAAAAGTAAAGTAAGTTAAGGATATTCCTTTCGTTTCATGGAAAATAGTTTTTTAAGTCTCAAATACCTGAAAGATCATACAGCATTAGGGATGTTGATAGCCGTAGGGAAAGCTTGAAGCTGAAGCAAAAATTATGTTTTATCAACAGGAACTTTTAAACGTTTCCAGCTGTTGTTTATAACAACTTTGAAAGCTAAAACCGTTTGACTGAAACAAGCATTAAGTAAAGCGTCACGTAAATTTGAAAATTGTAGGAAAATCACCATATTGAAAGGGATCGATAATATCTCAGCAGGTTTTTACAGCGGTATAAACTGAAGCTATTAATTATTGTTGTATCCCTTTTGAAAGGGCAAAAATATAAAATAACGTTTTGAAAAAGAGGAAAATACCTTTTTACCCTCTGTAGAAAAGCATGAAATTTTACCCCGGCAAAAGATTTCATGCAGATAAATTTCACAGAAGTTATGCATGCATTTAAAAAAAATAAAAACTTATATATATTTTTGCAATAATATTGTGCTTCTTGAAGGAAAAAAACTAATAAAAGCGGTTTCCTCTGACATCGCAGAGACCAACAATATGCCTCAACTAATGAACGATGCATAACTCACTAAAAATTTATTTTTATATGCCACCAGCTTCGATTCAGATTAATTTAAAAACTTTATCGTCAATTTGTGGTTCAACTCCCACTATTTACTTAATTCTAACGCATTAATGGGCTCCTGGTGAGACGCAAGAATTGATGACGACCAGGATGTATTCAAGCTTATTCAGGGGCGGCGGGCGGGGTGAGAGTAATTAATCAAATTTTTACACTGAGCCCATGTTCATAAAAAATGACTCCTCATCCGGTACTACTAGGTGCTGAGCTAAGTCCAGTTGCATACAGCTATTTCGAGAAAGGTTGCGGGAAAAAAGTGCAGCTACAATCCCGAAAGGTAATATGGGATATGATCAATACACTGTTCCTGATGACTGTAGCTGTCGATCCTACTTTTATTTCTTTCCTTTAGCACTCGCAAACACATTTCCATGGCCTTTCGTGCCAATTCTTTCAAATTTCTTTGAAAAAAAGAAAACTCAAAACCACCCACAATGCCTTTCAGGATTGTCGCGTGCACTTTTGCCGACAACCTTTCTCGAAATAGCTGTAGACATAACAAATGCACAGTTACAGTCTCAACTTATGCAGTTGCTTAAAAAAGCCTAACAAAATCGGGGGCTTACCGGGATTAACCCTGACTGCGATACCGATGCAGGGCTCTAACCAATTTGCGTCGGTAAGCCACGTAAATGGGAGCTGATCATTAAATTTGCTCGTATTATACCCGGGAAAGATGAAGATGAAATGACAAATACATGAATTTACTATATTGGACCCCTGGAATGAGGAAATAAATGCAAGATTGTTCCTGTTAGAGACGCAACGTATGCCCGCGAAAAGCGCTGCACCAGTATCGTAGAGCTCATGGTTCGAATTGCAGCTAGCCTGAGCTTTTTCAGGCTTGCTGGGATTTATTGCTTCAATCCGCAGTTACAATATATGAAATTCATATATTACAATATATGAAATTCATATATTCATCATTTCATAACTACTACTGTTGGGCGTTAGACTAAAGGGACTAAAGACTAAACTGTCAGTTTCAAAACGAGGCTGCATGCATCGTGGTGGTGTTGGTGTTAACTATATTTAGTATATACTAAAACAGTGGATAGTGTTTTTCGGGCGCTCTGATTGGCTACTCAATCAGTGAATATCCTACACTATTCACTGATTCACCTCCAGTTTCTCCGAGCGAGCGACGCCAAACTCGCGTAGGTTGCGAGCAAAAATGCTTTCTCGGTTTGCTGCCGTAACAAACTAAGAAATTTCACAACTAATCAAGCAAGCTATTTCCGAAGTACATGAAGAAGGTGACGAGGTTCGGTTTGGAAGTTTTAACAGGTAAAACTTTGTCTTTTTTACTTGAATAGTTATCGATAAAACAGGTGAAAAAGTTTTTTGTTTACAAATGCAAATTAAGCTCAAGTCTTGCGTTACTTTATTTAGTTGACTTGTTCATAAATAAGCTTAAAACTAAATTTAATAATCTTTTTTACAGAATTATTTTAAATACAAACAGAATTCACAACTCCTTTTGAAGAAACTTCCCCGCAAGAGCTAAACAAACGCCTTCAAAAGTTTTATTTGTCGCATAGAAAAAACGACGACCGCGGCCGTTCGGTCATCGAGCGCCAAAATTGTAATCGTTGGCAACAGTAAATGAATTAAAAATCATCATTTTGTGCTCAATTA